GTTGACAATAACCAAATTTTGAAACTTAATTTTATAATGAATTATCGAAAACACGTGTTGGCAAGGCACCGAAAATGCATTTCGGTAGAGTTTTAAAGCCCCTATGAAGGTGATCATATTTGATTGCTCTCAACAAGAGACAAATCGACTGGCTATTTCTAGCTTGATTTTCTCAGAATATACTGAAAGAATTTTAGATAAAAAACATTGAGTGTTTTAAATGCACAATAGTGAAACTTTGTGGGTTACTTAACTGCCTTTCCGCCTTAACGTGATCTTTACAACAAGATTTAAAATGTTGATGATAGTTTTTTATTATACTGATGATAGTTAAAACAATTTATATAATAAAACATGAAAAAAATATTTCTATCAAAAGCTTTTTTTTAAAAAAAAGCACTTTTTCATGTAACTTTTTGTGAGAACAACTTCACTGTTTTGACAATTTCTATTTAATATGAACTTGCATAGTACAAATAAAAATTGGCTGCAAGAAAGCATCGGCCGTTGGAGGCGCCACGTTAAGCTAGTAAATAATGTTTAAATATACATCGGAAATGGCTTTGTCTTTAACACTCTAAATGTCTAATGCTGCCTTGTGACGTTGACTAAAGGGGCCGTTCTTCAGTGTCAAATGAAAATGGGTCCGCTGGCGTCAGATCCCCACTCGGGAGAAAGAACAATCTGATTCGGCAATAATAATAACAATAATAATAATAATGTCTTTCTTAGATTCAACGGTAATTGGTTCAATGGGTATCTCTGGCGGGGTACGGGAGACTGGAGAGTATGTTCCCCAAATATTTGCAAACACATTTAAGTTTTTTTTAATTTTGTTTTGTTTTGGAAACATACTTTCAGATTAATTCATTACACCGTTTATTTTATTGGATTTATAATATTCAGAGTGAAAGGTTAACACAGTGTACATAAAAATGTTTTGCCGCCTTTCATTACCCAAACTGTGAGATGCCTGGGGAAGGAAATCATTATGAATATCCTACTGAACTGAGAGATTGATGGAGGGGGGGGGTCTCTCGAGCCTGCATTTTCAAAACGAAAGAAAGGGACCAATAATCACTTTGCTTATCATCACCCGTCGTCATCGTTTCCGAAGTTGCGGACTCTTTCCAAATTTGTAAACAAATATTTATTTTTGAATTCAGAATATCATCTACACAACTTTTCATTTTAAAACTAGCGCTTGTCAACTTCAATATTTTTTTTTTAAATATGTCATTGGTGTAATAAATTTCACACAGGATGTATACACTTCTTTTAATACCCCCAGACACCCCCCATGTATGCTAGAATATATCAGACTCAATCATTCAGTATTCATAAGATTCTCTAAAGGAGGTTGCTTGTGTGAAGTGCATGTTAAGGAGTGTTCGAGGTGTGTTAGCGAGTATGGTAGATATTTGGCGTTTGTGTTAGTGTAGTGATTGAACTAAATGCGTCTAGCAAAAAAACAAGGGTTACTGAGGAGCGCCTCTCCTTTCACGAAAAATGGCGGTACTTTATTTTGCATACAAAAAATGGAAAAGACCTCATAAAGCTATTGTACAATTAGCATGTAAAATTTAAAAAGAGAAAACTCAAGATACGTATAACATTTGTTACACATTTCCTTTTTGCTTCTGGCAAAATGAGAAAATCATGCATCGACTTTGTGGTCCTCCCTGAGACGTTTTATGAATTTATGAAGATAATATTGCAACATGTATCCACGCGTTAAAATATTCAATTAAATCATATATTCTCAATTTAAAAATGTAGAATTTTGTTGTTTAAGGCCTTCGAGAATTTTTAATCTTCAGATATGAACGTGATTTATACGATCAAGTTCCACATGCTATTAAAACAAATATGGTCTCTTACAATGAGATAACAGACATGCTTTCGTTTAAAATGAAACCTATTATCACTGCTAAAAGCACAAATACCATAAGAGTTAATACAAGTTTGTTTTTCATTTCACCGCACAAACATGGGGCTACCCTGCGAAGATACAAAGGAACGACTCCTATTCTCACTATACGTTGTGCAGGTGTACCTCAGTGGGAAAATACCAGTGTAGAAACAACGAAGGTGAGCGCACCGTCGACGTTGGACCGTCAGATTAAACTCATTTGCATCTTTGTATTTTCCCGCCGCACAATGTCGTTTCTCCACTGTGTGCAACTGGAGTGTTAAAACTGCAGTCACATCAAAGGAAATGAGTACGTTCCATTTTAAAATGCAAAGATATAAGTCGTAAGCACAGTTTTGGCCAATGTGAATAATATACTTTTGACCTACCTGCAACTATGCGTTTTTTCATCAGCTTCCTCACTTCTATAATGGGGTATCTATCTAAACTGGCATTGTGTGTGTGTGTGTATTTTTGTGTGTATTCGTGTTTGTGAGTAAGCTTGAAGAGGAAAACAATCTGCAATTGGAGTGATATAAACCAACTAACGAAAAAAAGTTGCAAAATATAACTATATTTCTTTCTATTATCAAAATAATATAATTTACATTGCCATTTTTTCTCCGTAATCTAACCTTACATTTTAGACTATAGCGCTATCTGAAAATGATTTCACTTTAGTAAATCATTCAATGTCTGGACTTACCACATACGTTTTAATTATTTATTATTAATACTATTATTCATGAAAGAGAATTGTGGATTTGTTTCTTAAATATCTGCGTACCTACACTTTATGCAATAACTTAACAATATTATTCAAATACTAATTTGATATTTTGCAAACTGATGTATATAAAAATAATTGATACAAACAATCTTTATTCTCAAATAAATATACATGGTACCGTAGTCTATTGAATTAAGAAAACATCACTCTTCTTTATGAGCACGATACAAACTATTAAATGTAGGGAATATTGAAAGGTTCAGATTAGCCTAAGAAAAGGTGCCAGTATTTATAAGACGTGAACATTTGAAGGTTACGCCATTTCACTTTCTTATTCAGGAAACAATCCAGATTTTAAATATAAGTTACAAATTCATGAGATCTACAGAAAACGTTACTACCAATAAAATTAATATCATGTGTGTAACAATCCTGCTTTCTTTATCTGTAAATAATTTGTGAAATTCATGTTAATTAGCAATGAGAAGTTTCTTTGCCACATACAAAAGTAGCAATGTGACTAAATGATCAGAAGAATGATTTTTTCAAATCATTGGAATGGTTTTTGCGTTTGAAAAGTAAGATATTTTTCTCTGCTTAAGCGTAAAATATAATACGTATTTATTAAAACGTAATATATTGATTATAAACAATAAAACATAACCTATTTTGAATTAATATTACTAATTCTAAAAATATATGAAGAATCGCTCTTGCTTTAACGCAGATTGTGGCCCATTGACATGGAGTCTTGGCAACCAATCATGTCTATCCACGCGGGCAAGGAAACATTTTCCAGCTTCACAAAACAGCCAAAATGTGTTTCGCACACGTTCCATGCTTGCATTGGCAGTGTTAGTTACGTAAGGACTGCACCAGACAAACCGGGCAACGAGCCGGAACGAGGCCTGCAAGATTTCGCCAAGTGAATGTTGACTCGACTCGCACAGCTCGATATATCCACGACTCGACTGAACACATTGGAAACTTATTGGCGTTTGCATTAGTCAACATGGATTTCGTTCCCTTTACGAATCGCTCCGGCTCTTTAATCAGCACTCTTCAACGGAGTAACTCTGATATTGGGCTTTGATTAAGCCTCAATGAAATGCTTTTTCAATTTTATAATTCTATAAAAATTAATGTTTTCAAAAGAATAGGATTTTTTATTAAATTATTTAAAAAATAGAATTCCTATCGAAAGAAAATGTGAAATCAATATAAGAATTAAAGATTTTATAACAGAAATCGCATACATTCAAATCCTATTCATCACACCATAGAGTCAATAAACAGACACTTGAACTCGAAAAACTTCGAAAATCGCGCCCGTTGTCCCCTTTAAAAAAATAAAGAACGAGCAGAGTTCCACTAACGCGAAAAAACAACATTCGCGTCGTCCTTCGAAAGTGAAGCTCGACTGACAGCCCCAAGTGGCAGTTGCAGGCAGCGACCGCATCGACCACGCAGGCCCATCTCGCACTGCAGCAGCACTGCCGGTGCAACTACCCGGCTGTCGGCAATGCTCACTCCGCAGCGCGTTATTTACATACAATGGCTGGACACATCGCTCCGAGAACACGCGGCCGCCGAGGCAGATTGGAAATCGGCTGGAAAACACGCGCGAATCCGACCAAAGGGGTTAATGAACATTTTCCGGAACGACGATCAAAATCACTACGATTTACCTTTCGTGAACGTCAACGTTTCGCTCTCTACATTATTCATAAAATAAACTATTCTACTGCGTAATACTTCAAAGAGAGGTTCAAACAAAAAATTACAAACAGACTCATTTTAAAATTGATTGTACACTGATAGCTCAATACCAAATCATCGAAAGTGACAGCACAGATCATGCGCTAACTTTCATTTTTCGGTGACTTTTGCTACTTTTGTTTAATGCACGATTTAACCCATGACAAAATAAAGAACGTGAATTTCTTTCTGAATCCAAATAGAATTAAAAGTTTCGTATTTTTTATTGCCAGAATTTTTTATTTTTTTTTAAATTTACTTACCTTTTTTCGACGACTTCTGATCAGTAACCAGCAAACCAACAGGAACAACTGCACAGGATATCTTCAGAATGACAGCAACAGACACAGTTTTATAGCTACTGGAGCAAGCGTCAACCCACACGATAGTCCACACTCACACACCTAGCGGACTGCGAATAGGCTTATTCAAGCTAGTAATAACGAGACTGAGCTCCAAACGTCACCGTCTGCCGGGAGAACTCCCCTGCGCTGCGCCTGCGTGTCTGACCACCAGAGCGCGCTGTCTGCGCTCGCCGCGCGGCCTAGCGGAGATCCAACGTGCTTCTGGCGCCGCGCTAGCCTCCCGGCAGGGAACTCTCAAATTCACCTGCGATCAATAATTGCGCTGAATTCGCCTGCGAGTGTATAGAATGCAGCCTGACATGTGGATCATGACACGCTCTTGCAAAGGCAAGCAGTGCCTGGGATTAGCCAAACGAACAGCTGAGTTGTGAAGTGAACGTGACAGCTCACCCGCGTCCAAAGACAGTGATTTGTTTCTGAACCGACTCGAGTCCCGAAAGAAAAAATGAGACCCGATCGCAACAGGTCGCTCTTGAATGCCAGCTCGATTCCGCCCTCTGACGAGCACGACGCTGCAGTTTCAGAAAGAGAAGTTAATGGTGCCGTTTGACACAAATTTATGTGCTGGAGTGGAACTGTGGAATGTGATACGGTTTCCAATACACAACGTAATATTGCTCAAAGTCACGAAAGTCTGTGACTTACCACTATTAAGAAGTTGAGCTCTTTAAAAATGTTGTAGCAAGAGTATCGCCTATGTACTATTTTAATGACAAAAATGTCATATAACTGACGATGAATGCGATTAAATGCGTTTTTGTTGGAGTCATGAACGCCCAAGAATAAAATACTACATTCAATTTCAGATATTTCTCATTAGAGATTTATAAAATTGTCGTTTAAAATGATGGTGTTTCACTGCAGCGCGACCTGACTTGACGAGTGCGGGTTCTCCGCGCGTTTCAAATACGTCACTTTCGCGCCATAGCGGTGATAATGGCGGCTTACATCCTCGCAGGTGTTGTGCTGGTTGCATTTATCACAGGCGAAATTCTCTCCATAGAAAACAAGAAAGCAGTTTTTACTTTTCCAGAATTCCCTTACAAGGAAACTATTAAAAATGTAAGTAACTATGAAATGTAGAAATTATTTATAATTGTAAGGTTATATTTTATCTTTCAACAAATTCTGAGGATATTTAAATAATTTTATCTCAGATAAAAAAATATATATTCTAGGAAATGGCATTTCGCGAATATGAATCTGCTTGTGAACAAAGTCCATCTTGTGTGCATACAACTGGAATATCTAGAATCCGTTGCTTAAGAGAATGTGTTTCTCCTTCATGTTACCAGGATATATACCAAACTGACCAGGTAAGCATTTTTTGCTTTTTCGACAAACAGTGCTTTTCTGATAATTCAATGTTATTTTAGTTCTTCCTAAGTTCACATTTTAAATTTCTTTGTCCATCACTAAAGGCTGATCAAATTCAACAAATACTTTTAAATATGTCATTCTTCAAATTCATCTTAAAAATATTAATCTGAAACAACTCTCATTTTTATCTTATTTGCAAATATTATCTAATTTTGAATCATTTTTATAGTCATGTATCAAAATATAGAAATGGGTTTTGTCAGTGGTATGAATTAATATTTAAATTTTTATAGAATGTTGTGTCTTGAAAATTATAAATATTATTAATGAGAAAAAAATATGCACATACACTACTTGTATAATTATAGGAAAAATCACTCACATAGTTATTTTAGGACACAATTGATGCATAGAATACAATTTTTTTAAATGTTTGCCATACAACACAATAATATTTTGTATCTTAAGTAACTTATTCCAGAGTTCTGAGTACATATTTGTTTCTCTTAAAACATTTTCTGGAATTTTAAATAGTTTTTAAATTTTTTCTTCAATTCGAAATGTACGTCTTTGAAATTTTATATTAATTTAAAATGATGTAATTTAATAATTTATTTAAAAACTTTTGATTTCAGTTCCTTGAATACCAAACATTGTAAATATTACAGTTCAACTACTTTGTTATTAGAAAAAACAATAATCTGATATCATTAATTCATTTTTTTTCTTTCTTTTTATAGCTAGAAGAAGGAGAAATAGATGTACGTCTCAATTCATTCAAAGGCTGTTTCATCCAAAGAGCTAGCCGTCCTAGGCCATAAATCATCTTCCAATCTGAGATAAAAAGTCTGAAAAGCTTTATAAGATCAATGTTTTAAAATTAGTTTAGATAATGAAAATATTTTAGCTTTTTCTTATCAGGAAAAAAATTAGAGCATATCATACTTTGCATTTCTACTACAGGAATAGAAGAGATGTTTTAAAAGAAATATAATCATATCTCCTAATTTTACAACCTAAATAGTTTGAGCAATTTGCATCAGAAACATGGCAGTTGAAAATAATTTGGTAATTGGTGCTTTCTGGAGATGGTTCATACTACTATGTTACTTTGAAAAATGTTCATGAATGATCTACAAACAATAAGAATAGTAAGTCAGTTGACAAACTCAGGAATGATCTTTAATTGCAGTTGGACATTCATAAGAATAATCTGCCGTCTCTATCTATCTGATTGTTGGTTCTGTCCTTCGCATCTACAAAGAACTGCTTGTGAAATTTAATATTGAGTGTTTTCAACAAATATCTAGAGCTTATGAACTCTGAAACCATTTTAATTGGTGGAATTTTAGAAACTAAATACTCATTTGACGCACTGCATTGCCAATTTTAAAAATTAAGCTTTTAGTAAATTTATCTTTCCAAGGGAAATGTTAGAAAACAAAGGCTGTGAAATAGTTCTTTTGATGTGAACTTGTTGGCATCATTTGAATATTTTATTAATCTGTAGATATACATAAATTGTATCCATTTAGCATCTTCATAATACCTTATTTTACAAACAGGGTGTAATTAAAGTTTTATGAAATTTTAATTGAATTTTACGTTATTTATTTACATATAATACAAGACAACTTTTAATAGTGTTTGTTGGTTTTGTACTGCTCTATTTTGGTTTTAACACTTTTAAATGTTTAACTATTAAGTATACAAAAAACAATCAAATGTAAGACTACTGTATGTTTCTATTATTATGAAATAAAGATAATGCAAACTAAACATTGATATTTTCACGTTCCCCTTTTGTAGTATCAAAATTTGTCTTTGTTGAAGCATTTCTCATAGTTTGAGTCAACTCTTGAGAAATGTTTGTATTCAGCAGAAGAATCTAAAAAAAACAACAATTTACACCATAAATTATGAAGTGAGCTGGACAAAGGAAATCATGAAGAAAGAGCAGAATTCAAAATGGTAAAGATGCTTTTGCTGACACCTTACATCAGTCTCAAATCTAGAATTGAAGAAATTTTTAAGAAATAATAAAAATTACTTTAATTTAAATATAACTAAATGTTTCATAGAAAGAAAACAAAATGTAAAAGTGTCATACCTTTCTTTAATTTTATTTTCAAAAATTGTAAAAGTCTTACTTGCCAAGTTTTATAGGGGAATATTACTGTTTAATGCAACTGATTTATCAAGTGTTTTAATATTTTATGGTTTAAGTTACATTTTTCATTGCTGCTAACACACTAATGTTCCTAAATGTGCATTCTTTCAGAAATAAATCTACCCTTACTTAAAAATAATAAATTATTAATAAGAGAATTGAATGTATTTAAAAGTATGTTCATTTGATAAAATATAATTGTAGATTAAAAACCATATAATTAAAGAAATATTTTTCTGAATATTGATAATTCTGTTGTCAACTGTCTATTTTCTAAAAATTGTCAAGTGACTTATATAAGTCTCCAAAAATGAATAATTGTCATGTCAGATCTTCATGTTCATTAGATTTAAGTATACATTTATATGAAGTGCTCAAGGACAAATAGTCCTATGTCCTTTCAAACAAAAATTTAGTTATGAGGCAAAATATAACCATTATCTGTATATAATAATAAGGAATCTCCAATAAATTATCTTCCAATTATCAATTACCTAAAGTGCCCACTTAAAAAAGGGATAAATCAGGAATTGATCATAATTATGGAAATAAACCCCCTTGTGCACACAGCTTAGAATATATTTAAGGGCAAGAACTATCACTGATATCAATAATACACAAGCATTATACATTGATTTAAACACAGTGGCACTTTAATGTCACAAGCCGGATGGAGAGGGATACCCTGACATCCAATTGGGAGCTTTGTAACGACTTAAATTTTTGGTAGTGGACCTCCCGATTGAACAGCAATGTCCCCCTCTCCTTCCAGCTTGTGACCTTTAAGTGTCACTGTGTTTAAATATAGTATATAAACTTCATAAAACAAAACCATAAGCTATAATGTTTTATATAGCTTTATTTAGTCTATATATAGACCTATTGGTTTTGTGTATTATTATGGTCAGCAATAACTCAGTCTTAATAGTCTTATAATTAATAATTAGGAATATTAATTTGAATTTTTTTCTTACATTACCCTGTGCATTACAGTTTGAGCAAGCCTACTTGTAAGGGTATTTGTTAATTGCTGAGAATTGGCAAGGTATGTTGCAATTCTTTCAACGGTTTCAGAAAGTAAGCCACAATAAGGAGCCCTACTTTTTTTTCTGGTTCGAATATTACTATTTTGAAAGCCTGTTTTCACACTAAAACATAAAACACCATCACAAAAATATCATGAAGGAATATAAAAATACAGCATGATATAAATTTCAAAGCGTAAGTTATTTTTTAAGAACGTGACTCACCATGTTGCAAGAACATAATAATGCAACCACCAACACAAAAAATAAAGAAGTTCACAATTAATTTCTGGTTTCTTGGGCATGAAGTAGATCCGTAGCACAGTATGTGTCCATGGATGAGTAGCAAGGGTACTATACAATTCGTTTTCTGGATGCATTTTAAAAGCATACTGTAAAACTGCACCCATTGCTTTTAAACTATTTTTGGACACATGTGGTATATTCTATTCAGAAATTCAAATACATGTTATGACTTTTAAGTCATGTTATTACTTAAAAACAATTACTCTTCAAATAGTTACACAAGCTATTATATATTATATAAAGGTACTAGTACATCCTCAAATTGTTTGGTTCACTTATCTCTCCAAGAATGCATTTTGGTTGTTCAGCTTGGATAATTTGGATTCCTGAATATCCTATTTCCTGAACCTCCTATTTCCTAAACATCTGAAATTCATACTAATTTCAAGATAACACCTTATATTTAATAAAAACAATCATTTTTTAATCAGTGTGTTCATTACTTATGAACTTCTTATCTTTAATACTTTGTTAATTATTTGGTTGAATATTACCAAGCCACCAAACAAAAGCAGTTAAAGATCAGAGTTCAAAGTTAGCAACAACATAATAGTCTCTTTTATGGGAAATTATGCTGAATCTGGTAGAAGATATCAGGGAAAATAATGAAAAGATAAAGATCAAACAATAATAGAATCAATGAAAGGGGAGACAAATAAAACTTTCTGTCTCTCAATATTGCCCTCAAATACCTAATGCAATGGCTAGGATTTCAACTCTATATGACGAGGTGGAAAGTAAATATACTGGTCACTACATTGCATATCATTTTATTTCTTGTGCATTGTGTCTCTTTAAAGCAATCTAAACATAATTGTAACTGGTCACAGTGAATTGGGGGGAAGGAGAAGGGGTTCAAAGTATCATCTAAAGCCTGTGGGTTCACACCTCACGTTAAGCATGGAGATTTTCATTCAGTGGCAATGGTTTTGTCAGCTTACTATATCACCACGTATTCAGTCTCAATATCATTTTATCTATAATCATTCATTTCAAACCATCACTCACTTCTAATGATTTACTCAACCATTCATCACATTCTTAAATGGCAAATACATGCACAAGTGATCACCTGTCCATGAAAAAGGGTGATAAGCCTCTTCCATTGCCTATGCTCAGAAATGAGGGTGGTACTCATATCAGAAAGGCATACTTACAATCAACTTTTATATCACCTTTAAATGTCTTACCTTACTACAAATGTTCTGTAAGTGTCGGAAAAGTATCTGCAGAAAAGGTAATGAGATGTAATGGAGATCCGCAGCAACAATTATCATTAGAGGATGAGGAAGCTCAGATGATATTATATCATATAAAAAATTTAAAGTGAAGACAAGAATATCATAGTCCTCTTGAATTAATAGATAAAGCATTTGCATTATGTCAATATGAAGGGTGAATCCTTTCTGTAAAAGATAGTTATTAAATGTTCTGCTGCTATTTAGACACTTTTGTTGTAACATATCTTACCTTCTGAGAATCAACAAAAGATTCTTCATAATATTTATTTATTTGCATTAGTAACTGAAGACTGGGGCGTATTAATTGAAGATTTGAATATCCAGTAGTGTGATAGATCATTTTCACAAATTCTTGTTGATTGACATAGCTTAACAAAACTAAAAGAAAAAGAAAAAGAGGGGGGGGGGGAAATCATTAAATATAGCGTAAACCATGTATGATAAGTCAGGATATGTACATACAATGTATAATACAGATATTTCTAGAATTTAAATACAATACAAAAATCAAAATTCAATTCAATTTTGGTACTAAATATAATACAATGCTAATTAATTTTGTAAATAGTAGTGTAAGAAGACTAAAATTGAAAACAATAATAAAAAAAGAAGGAAAGAGAGGAAAAAAAAGAAAAAATGGTCTTCATATGAGTTTGATGTCTTGTCTGGGTCCGTCCTTTATGACCAACAATTGTGAGTTTCACTGAGAGGAAAATGTTGATTTATTTTTGTCTAGTATCATAGTTATAAACTTCTGTGTTTACAGTAACAGAATACTTGTTTCTGATAAGGGCTGTCTTGTGAAGATTAACCTTTCAAATTTGTAAGTATTTGAATACATTTGAATTTCTACCATGAACCGTAATTTGAATCAAGCTAACTCATCCACAGATGAAAGTATTTAAAATAACATACCTCTCAGATCTTTTCTCTTCATTGCCATTAAGAGACACATCGATGCAAGACCAAGAGCTGGTGCTCTTGACTCCACACAAATATCATTTGACTTTTCAAAATGGCTCAACACTTTTATAATGTGAGTAGCACATTGCAGAAGTAATTTGGAAGTGGGTGCCATAGGGATTCCAGTTCTTGCTGTTTTCATATAATATGTAATATTGTGATCTATGCCACAAACAAAAATTATGAATTCAAGTAATAGTAAAATTAAAGTTAAAAAATAAGACTCAATCTGTCAAAGGATATCTCTTTCTAAAAGTTAATTTTCATTAAAAAATTAATAAATTATAAAATTTTCTAAAATATAAAGGTCTCAGGAACAAGATTTGGAATCATTTTGTTGATCACCACAGAAACCGAAGCTTCAGAAATCCACATTCTTTAGCTGTTATCAAAAATCAGAAAAATTTTTAAAAACATTAGGCTAGGCAACCAAACAACAAGTGTGACTTTCATTTGAAATGGAAGAAAGTCATTTTTCATATTTTTAAACCCCACTGTAATAAGTGTATATAATATTAAACTTTACCACTGTTTTGTTAGAAGCCTATATGAAAAATTTAATTTTAAAATACAAGATGCAAAAGGAGCCACATCTGCAGTAATCCTCACTAATGTGGGCCTCAGACAAGATAGCCTTCTATCACTTCTTCTGTTCAATATATATATGAACTACATTATGAAGATTTGGAAGAAAGAAGGTAAAGGGGCACTGCCATGGGGCAAGGTAAGAAAATAAAATAAATACTTAAAGCAGATGACCAAGTAATTGTAATGACATCAGAGAATGAACTGAAAAAACACAACACATAGACTGAACAACATTGTAACAAAATATGGACTGCGAATATCAACAGTGAAAACTAAAGCAATGGGCTTTAAAGGCAATGAATATACAAGGGCAAACAAAATTATTGACAACAAAATAATAGAACAAGTGTCAAACACTTAGCTGTCTAGGTAACAAAATTTCAATTCAGGAAGAGGATTTTGAATCAAAGTTGGCGAACTTCAACAAAATCAATGGCTGTATATAAAGGCACTTCTGATACATGACTACAGAAACAAAAATTCAGACTCCATAATCATTTCCAAACCAACACTACTCTATGGCAGTGAAACATGGGTATTGAAAAAAAGAGTTAGACAAAGAATTAAAAAAGACCAAATGAGATATCTGAGACCAGTATTAAAAGTGACAAGGAAAGTGAAAATAAGAAATAAAGAAATGACGAAGAAACTAAAAACATTATTGAAATCTTGGTAAAGTATCAAAAGAAATGGCAAGATAATGAAGATGATATAATTTATTTTTTTTATTTTCATCAAAACAGTTTCCAATTGTGTGTGACGTGCTATGGGGAGAAGTTAATTTGAAGTTACATTTATGTCCAGAAGCAAAACAAGAGGCCATCTCAGCATTTGCTCAAGGGTCAGGGAAACAGTGACTAATAGACTACTGGAAGAATATAACTATTGGTTTAAACCTACACAGTTCATGACAATGACCACTGTTTTGTGAAAAGAAACATAATAATTTATGTAATTTTGTCAAACTAGTTTCACTTAAAGCAGAACACAACACCGTCAACAGCCAATCATTTTGGAGGCCGCTATGACAGATTTTTGTTAAATAATAAACATATTGTATATTATGTATATTGTAAACATTGTAACATACATTGTACATTATTTTTGTGGTGTAGATATGATACTATACAATATTATTGTTTAAATAATTACATAATTTTAACATAAATAAATATTTAAATTAATTTTGCCAACTAAAGGAAGGTAAAAAACCAAATCTCTAGACCTTTGGGGGGG